TTCACTACTCTTATCCTTTCACAGAATTAAGACCAGTTATTGAGATGTGTACTCATTAGACTAACTTGTGCAAAACAATTATACTTTGTTTGGAGCAGGAGTTGGACTTGAACTTTGTACAGTACACAGATCACCATGGTTTCTCTCTGAAGTGTATTCTATTCCTTATACAATGTATATAATCAAATTAGTTAAGCATTCAGAAAAAAACTCCCCAGCACACTAGCCTGGTTGAACCACTCTACCACTATGTAGGCAGAAAACACAGTGGTGAACTTCAGGCCAACAGTAACTGACTCATGTGATTTTGTTTCTGAAGAAAAAAAAGTAGACTGAACTAATGTCAAACTTTGTACCGAGAAGAAAACAAAAAAAATAAGCAAAACATCAATACTGACACGTGTCACTCTTCCTTTCTAGTTCTATTACACGTTTATTTAAACTAATCTCTGTGAGGTCTAAGCACCTTGTAGGATTTAAAGTCAGTGGTGATTATCTACTTTCTTTCCACCATGTCTCAGTCTCCCAAAGGTATGCACTTTTTATATATTACAAAGTAGGAATTAGGAGCTATACCCTGAGTTCTCCCAACGTATAGTTTCTCAATTACACAGCAAAGACTGAAGAACAAGATAATATTTTATTTTGAAAGAGAAATCCCTATTCATTAATTACAAGTATGCAGCCATACTTCACACATTGAGACACACATCTCGGTTTCTATTAACTGTCATTAAGTAGCTTTCAAAATGCTATAATGGAAGAATTGAATAAACATCCTAGTTTGAACACTGACAGTTACATCTATAACAGGCAGGATCTCACCAGTTGAGGCCCTTCAGCTTCTTTTTATGTACTGCACAGGTAACTACGGCACTCTAGTGAACAGCAGATAAAGAAAAGCCATAACCAACACCAGTTAGAAAACCACAGGTCAACCAGAGCATCCAAGGCTGAGCCCAGTGGCAACCCTGTCCCCATTGCCAAGGTTCTTCTTTCAGCATAATGTAAGCAGTAACAGCACGTTCAGAAAAATACCTCATCTCTATGAGGATAACCATTTGTGGATTTCTAAGGAGCTGCTAGAGCAACTTGGCGGCAAGTCTGGTGGTAAAATATCAGAGGAGGACAAAAGCATACCAAAGACCAGGTTTCTAAAGCTCATTTTATACAGCAGTCTTCTAATCATATGTTTACTGTTATTTAAGTAAATACACCAAACAGTATTAAATTATGAAAATTAGGGTATCAAAATACTTTTACAGCATCTCCAGATCTCTGAGTCTTCAGCTTTAACTAATATTCAGATGCAGTAAGCATTTAAAATGACTGAATTGAACTCTTGGTTCATGACACATTTAACTGTCTAAAACTTATGCATGTAGACCAAGTTCAGTACCTGGAGAGCAATGACTGATTCCAGGAAAGAAGAAAAAGAAAGCAACTCTGTCCTAAGCTTGGTAAAATGAATTGCTCTCTGGAAATACTTATCTCCCTCCATTGACTAGAGGAAGATTCTGGATTACCAGATTGTATTAAAAACCAACCTTTTAGACAGCTAAACTTAACTGAGATGAATCCCCCCAAATAGTTATTTCACATTAATATGAAAAACAGTAAGCGTTTTCATGGATAATAAAAAGCTGAAGCAATCCATCCATAAGATTATGTCACATATAATAAGAGATATCATCAAAAGTACTCTATAGCCCAACTTGAACATAAATAGTATAGGCTCTATCTCTAGGATTCAGCTGGTTTCCAGACAGCACCCATTTTTTCCAAGACCGAGCATAATACTCCATCACTTGCAAGGTATATAGGAAATGAGATACTGATAGCATCATATATTTTGTCTTCCAAGCATTGTTCAAAAACTCATGATACAAAGTAAATAAAATTCTGAAATATACCCATTCCATAATACTTATTTTACTAAGAATTGGATAATTAACTATTTTCTGAAAAAGTATGTCTGTATCTAATGTTTGTTGTGAGACTGTTTTTAATTTGGCCAAATGAATAATACATAAGATTACATTTGTATCAAATCAATCTTCACAGATTTTTTTTTAAAAGAGTAATTACTACATCTGTTTCTTTTGTACTTCATCAGTTTGATAACACAAGGAGAATGTGACTTGCAAGAAAATATGAATACCATATTAAATATTGTAATCAACTAGAAAAACAGAAATATTGTTTCACAAAAAAAACAAAAAAACCACAACAACATTTTCGTGAGGTAGGATAAAAAACTCCTGGTGCGTGAAAGTCAAAGCTACACTTATTCAGATCCTGGGACTCCTACTACTGATTCTCAAGTGCAGATTCTACAGATAAATGTAGACTAATATAATCCTCTAAAATGAGGAGGGAGCCCTGTTTCATTAAAAATTAAATCCAGATGTAAACTGAAATGAGAACAAAATCAATAGCTCACACCATCAGACACCTACAAGAAGCTACAGAATATATAATACAGGGATACAGTCAAAAAATTTGACTGTTCTGAAAAGGCATTATTCGCACGCTCGGTGAAACTGGCAGGAAATAGCACATATATGTTCCATGTACTTAATCTACCAATTATTTTCTTATGAGAGCAAACACAGAGTGGTTGATATTGATACACAAAGCCATAAAGAGTCATCAAGTAGTCCTATAAAAAGGATCTTGTCTCACCCTCTTCTACAACTGTATTCAGATAATGAATGCTTGTCAAAAATAGATCCAGGCACTATCCACAAGCTATTCTCAACAGGATCATGCACGAGTCCATTTCCCAGACTGCTCTGACACATTTCCCAATTTTTAGTTCCCAGGACAAGTGGCTGTGTTTTTTGGCCCAAATATGACCTATGTGTTTGTATTTGCAGCCTATGCATAAAATATGGACATGAACATTAGGGAAGGGAAAACCTATTTATGGTAAGAACAACAGTGGCAATAAACAAGACAGGAAACAGATTATGGACTCATTAAATTCCCTTAGATTTACAACCTCCACAATCCTATAGGGAGGCTTTTCCATAACTGCACAGCTCTAATGATTGGAACCATTCTACAGACTTAAAGCTTACACTCATCTAGTTTTGTCTTGAGACTGTCTTTTACCTTAAACAGTTTTCCTCCAAAGTGTATTCTTATCATATATTTATAAACAACAATCTTTTCTAATCTCAGGCACTCTCTTGCAAAATTAAATATACCACATCCTTTTATTATCTCCTAAAGCCTCCTCATGCTTCAGCTGGCCTTAACACAACTTGCCATGCAGAGCCCTGTTTGAGTTTGTCTTTCTTAAATGTGTGTTGCCAAAATTCTACAAAAATATGCAGGGCCTTGAGAATGGCTTCAATGCTTCTTTCTTTTCATTAGGACTGCACAGGCAACTTCCATAGCCACATGACGCTCCTGACTCGGACACACAAGCTACTGTCATTTCCAGCAACGTGCCTTCAGTTTGTAGGAAATGATAAGAATTTTCTCCTAAGTGTAGGACTTATACCTTGTTCCATTAAAGATTATCTCACATCGACTGTCATTTCCAATCATCTCATTCTCCCTGAATGACAGTCCAGCCTCCTCCCAGCTGGTTGTCAGCAAAGTTTTGTGGGGTTCTTTTGTTACTATTCACTTCTACTTTTGAACTCGGGTAACTGGGAATGAATGCTGTATTTTGACATTCGTACTGCATACTAGCAGGCTTTGGTGCTTCAGAAGTAAACTTTTTTTTAGCATCCTCCTAAGACTATCTTCTGTCCCATGAAACCAAGCACAAATAGCTTAGCCTTTTTCATTGCGCTGTTGTCCATAGAAACACAGTTTATCCTTAACGTAACGATGCAAAAGTATCCACAGTCTATTATTGCCGTGATTCATTTAATGTAGTTATCCCAGTAGTCTATATGGGGGAGTATCCCCCAGAATTTTCCTCCCACTCAGTAAGACTGCTCACACTAGATTGTGGGTGGGGTATTGCTCCATGTGAAACAGACACATACCGAGGCAGTTATCCTGATCAAGTAATGTACTTCAGTCTCAAAGCCAAGAATCTTTTAATCAATACTCTAATCTGAAATGCATCGGAGGAGGCAGGAGGAGGAGAGAACAACTTGTCAGAGGAAGATATCCAGCAAAATCCATTCGTCTCAGCTATCAGCCCCAACCTGTGTCTATTCAGCTACAACCAGCTATCTACCACAATCAGTCTCCCAAGAGGCTGTTTCTCTACGCTCTGCTTCTTGTGGTGTGGACTTCCTACGTTTCCAGATTGCTCTTCAGCTTGCGGCAGCTGAACCGTTCTTCGTTTCCTGAGCATCACCACCTGACGACCCCTGCCTCGCCTTTCAGGCTGCTGCCTACCTTGGCTTCTCCACTCCCTGATTTTCAATTCAGGCCCATTGTGGTGCTTTCATATAAGCACTGAGCAATGCATTTTCCAAACTGCCACCAATTCCAAACCTTTTTAGGAACCTCTCAAATGTTACTTGTGGGGAAATGTTTTGGTTTCGGTTTTGGGAGGTTTTGGTGTGTTTTTTGTTTGTTTGGGGTTTTGGGGGGGGTTGGCTTTTTTTTTTTTTTAATTCTAGCATCATACTTTATTAGTACTATGTAGATATTCAGTATTAAAAAAAAAAAATCAATCAACACTTGGAGGTAATAACCACTAGGGTCTCTGTTCAACACACTTTCATAACACCAAAATACACCAATTCTTGCAATTCATTTAGTGACATATCTGCTATTCATATTATAAGACAGTATTAGGCACATTTTTATAAATTGATCATTTTAGCTACTATGCTTTGTGCCACAAACCAAAAACTTAAGACTTTTATGGAACAAAAGCCTGTTTTTAATTTTACAATATAAATTATTTATAACTTGAAGGTGTTTGGGATCAAGACTTTAAAGGATCACATTAGCTTGAATGAGAAAGCAACACAGTGATATTTAAAATTTAAATAATGCAAAGAATACAATACAATACATACCTATATCATATGCAAGAAAATCAGCAGAAAAGCACTTTGCACCATTACTCAGGGAAGTATCATTATGAGTGTTTCCACCAAAAATGAGCATAGCTCCGTTTATTAAGACAGCTGAATGAAGATACCTTGCAAAGCCACTCTCTTTCAAAATAGTCCTGCAAAATATAAGAATAAATTAATACCTACTAACATGTGAGAAACTATATATACACGTCAAGAAAATTTATATATGAAAACAATATAAAATACAAGGAAAACACTAAACTAAAGCTATTACTCAGTAAATATGATTAAATGTATTCTGATTGTTTCAAAGATTATGAATTTTCTCATGTTACAACAAATATATTTAGCATTCATTTAAAATGATGTCCTGGTTTCAGCTGGGATAGAGTTAATTTCCTTCCTAGTAGCTGGTACAGTGCTGTGTTTTGGATTTAGGATGAGAATAATGTTGATAACGCACCGATGTTTTAGTTGTTGCTAAGTAATGCTTACACTAGCCAAGGACTTTCCAGCTTCTCATGCCCTGCTAGCGAGAAGCTGGGAGGGGGCACAGCCAGGACAGCTGACCCCAACTGGCCAAAGGGATATTCCATACCATGTGACATCATGCTCAGTATATAAACC